AAAAAAAATAATCACATATTCAGTAAAAACAAATCTGTTTTTATACTAAAACTAGATAAAAAAAAGTCAATAGTATTAATTATATTAGTTATTTCCGATTTTTAGTTTATTAACTGTGGTCAATCTATACAGCCTTTTTTTAACAATGTGGAGGCATTTCGATAGTTGCTTATCGGGCTTTTCTGACGTCGCCGACAATCCACCTGTTATTAAAAATAAAAMAAATTKAAGAATATATTTAAACAAAAATTAATTTATATACGTACTTATAATCGCATCATACAAGGAAGTATATTTTTTTAGGCAAATCTTGCCATGGACGCCGCCTACATTGACTTCGTTGCACATAGATCTGGAGATAATTTCCTCAAAGTGCTTTTCAGGATCCCCCTTTAATAGGTGTTTTATTGCGTTAATCTGAAATGTTCATTCAAAATTATTAGTGGAATTTACAATAATTCAATTATTAAACTTACATATTCATTGATGTTCACCTCATTTATGGCGTTATTGAMGCTTTCCATTTCTTCAATGGTTTTTATAGGGAAGAGTTTGCTCAAATTCCTCATATCTGCGTCCTTATTAGCAAGAACGCTTAATTGGGCGCCTTGCTTTGCCTGAACTTCCATCATTTTTTTAAGGTAATCTGGAAAATAATAATTTTTAAAATTATTTGCATCAAAATTTTATTTAAAAAAATACCTAGCATGTTGTCAAATTTGGTGTTCAAATCGTCAATTTTAGCCTCCAAAGATTTGCAMCTTTCACAAGTTTTGTTATTGCTATTGCTGTTGGGGAAGTTGGTATTATTATTGGTTTTGAGATAGTTGTTGTTATTGCTGCTGCCGCTATAGTTGTTTTCGGAATGAATTTGCGAATCATCTATAGAATTATTTTAAAAATTATTAATCCGTTATGAAAAGTTAGAAACAAAATATACTCAMAAAATATTATTTCATTCTCTTTGAAGTCAAATTGTCTTATCTGATTTGGTTGTTGCTGAGTCATTTTCATATAAATATTTGGCTTTTTTTATATTATATATTTTTTTTTATATTCGTTTTGTTTTTTGTTATCTATTAAAAAGTGCAGCTATTTAATAAAGGCAATAGTAGAAAATTTTGTGAAGAAGGGAGCAACATCAATTTATATGCTACATCATCTGCTTTAAATTCTTCAATTTCTTCAGATAATGAATCCGAAAGTGCTATTCCTAGAGCTAATGAAGTGAATGGAGCTGTAAAGAATGGATGGACATTTTTAAACCGGACTGCTTCCAATATTATTTCTCCTGCATTCGACTTTTTAATTTTTTTAATTGAAATACGTATATCTGGCAAAATAACGCAGGCATTATCTGGTGACTTTGAACTTAAATAAAAATTTTTCATCCTATAACTTGTAATTATATTATTTTTTTCTTTAATTTCTATTTTGCTCTCATTGAAAAAAAATTCTGAAATTTCATTTATATTTGCCAATTGTTGAAGAATTTGTGTCGGCTTCCTGACATTTTTTT